AATCTTACTTTGGTCCTGGCCCTTCTTCTTACTTGGGCTGACTTTCATTCCTCTTCTTTCAAGTGTATACCTCCATCTCTCTAAGTTTTCTTCCACCTGTTCCCTATTCTCACCACAGATCACAATGTCATCTGCAAACTTCATAGTCCACGGCAAGGGCGTCAGAAGCATCCGTAATGTGGGGGGACACAACGATGTGTGTAGGTGTGTGCGCGCGTAAGCGTGCGCGCAAAAGAAGTGTACACTAATGTACAAAAAAAGCAACATTTCACCTAGATTTGCTTTAATTCCACACATTTAAAGCATATTTCTCACCAGGTTTGTGTAAATTCAGCTGTGGGTTTTAGAGACATTTTAACTTTAATACACTTTAATACAGAGCGTCTGATCTGCACTATTTGTGTTTGTAAAGAAATAAAAAACATCACCACTGGACTTTTTTAACTTGTGTTCAACACTACTCATCTAAATGATGTTTCTAATGAAGCTTGAGGACAATAAAGTGTGGGGTTTTAAAGACATTTCATCTTTAATGCACCTGAACACACAGCATCTCTTACACCTGCAGCGTCTTACAGCGTCACAGTTACTGCTAACAGAACATGCTACAGACGTAGCGTTCCTCTCAAGCATCCTCCTAACTTGAATATATGTTGATGATCAACCCCCTGGTCAACAACTGCCCACACTAAGCTCGCTAAACTGGCGAGTGAGCAACACAGAGGTGTCTCCATCTCCTGCACCTGTGCGCGTTTTCTACCGAAGCAGGAGACTCGGCAGCTGCTGCCTGCACAGTTTCTGCTCTGTGTGTAGAGTTGGAGGTAACCAGGAAAACCTGGAGTGGAGTTTTATTAGATTGAGTATTCTCCTATTAATCAAGTGGAATAGATTTGTTCACAAAGAAAGAGAAACTGCGCCGTTTGAACTAATGTTTCATAGTAAAAGTGGGGGGGTCCAAATGAACATTTTTTTAATGTGTGGGGGACTTGTCCCCTTCACATATAATGGTTGCAACGCCTATGGTCCATGGGGATTCCTGCCTGACCTCATCTGTTAGTCGGTCCATCACCAGAGCAAACAAGAAGGGGCTCAGAGCAAATCCTTGATGCAATCCCACCTCCACCTTGAAGCTATCTGTCACTTCTACAGCACATCTCGCCACTGTCCTCTTGTCCTTATACATGTCCTGTACCAGTCTAATATACTTCTCCGTCACTCCAGATTTCCGCACAGCACCGTCATATGCTTTTTCTAAACACACAAAGACACAATGGAGTTCTTTCTGACCTTCTCTGTACTTCTCCATCAGCATCCTCAAAGCAAAGATGGCATTTGTGGTGCTCTTTCTTGACATGAAACCATACTGCTGCTCATAAACAGTCACCTCTCATCTAAGTCTAGCTTCCATAATTCTCTACAAGATCTTCACGTTGTGGCTCAACAACTTAGTTCCCCTGTAGTTGCTACAACTCTGTACATCACTCTTGTTCTTAAAAATGTGCACCAGCACACTTCTTCTCCATTCCTCAGGTTTTTTTTCACCCTGAAATATCCCAATGAATATTTTGAGTCAAAAACTTCACTGCCATCTCTCTAAGACATTTCCAAACCTCTACTGGTATGTCATCAGGTCCTACTGCTTTCCCCTTCTTCATTCTTTTGAGAGCTTTCTGGACTTCACCTTCACTAATCTTTCCCACTTCCTAGTCCACAGTTTCTATGACCTCAACTCTTTTTTTCTCTTTCATTCTCTTCATTCATTAGCTCCTCAAAGTACTGCTTCCATTTTCCTGTCACACTCTTCTCACTTGTTAGAACATTACAATTCCTATCTTTAACAAGCCTAAACTGCTGCACATCCTTTCCAGCCTGATCCCTCTGTCTTGCCAATCGGTACAAATCCTTCTCTCCTTCTTTAGTGTCCAGCCTTCCGTAAACCTCATCATACACCTTCCACTTTGCCTTAGTTACCTCCCTCTTTGCTCTACATTCTATCTCCTTATATTCCTGTCTCCTTTCTTCAGTCCTCTCACTGTCATACTTCTTCTAGGCTAATCTCTTTCTTTGAAAAGCTTCCTGCACTTCAGTATTCCACCACCACCCAGAGCCTTTAACAGCTCCTCTCTGAATTTCTCACAACATTCTTCTTTTCTCAACTTCCACCATTTGGTGTTCTTCTATGATTTTACTCTTTTTCTCTTCTTCACAACAGTCATTCTACACGCAACCATCCGATGCTGTCTGGCCATGTTCTCCCCTGTCACAAACTTACAGTCCCCAATCTCCATCAGGTTTCTTCTACACAGAATGTAGTCGATCTGCGTACTTCTTCATTCACTCTTGTAGGTCACTTTATGTTCCTCCCTCTTTTGGAAATACAGACCCTGTCCACAAAATTAGAATATCATAGAAAATTAGTTTAACTTCCATAATTCCATTCAAAAAGTTAATCTTTAATAGATGATAGATTTAGGGCCCGCAACTTAAACGATTTCAAGTATTTATTTGTTTATTTTTACATAATTTGGGCTTCCAGCTCATGAAACCAAAGAAAACAGGAATTCAAAAAATGTGAATACTGTGGAGAAATCAGCCCAAATTTTGCAGGGCATGAATGTTTTAAACTGAGTGTGACACACTAATCATCTACTAAACTCAAAGCACCTGCACAGGTTTCCCCAGGTGCCATTAAATTGCTTCAGTTTGGTTCATTTGTCTCAGTTCGGTTCAATATGGGGAAGACTGCAGACATAACAACTAGCCAGAAGACCATCATTGATACCCTCCATAGGATGGGTAAGCCACAAAAGTTCATAGCTAAGGAGGCTAGCTGTTCACAGAGTGCTGTGTCCAAGCATATCAATGGAAAGTCTAGTGGAAGGGCAAAATGTGGCAGGAGAAGATGCACCAGCAAAATACATGACCGTGGGCTTCAGCAGATTATCAAACAGAGAAGTTTCCAGAATCTGACAGAGATACAGAAAGAGTGGAATGAGGCGGGAGTCACCGCATCAAAAACCACCACATTCAGACGCATACGGGACATGGGCAACAACTGTCGGGTTCCTCGGGTCGAGCCACTTCTACTCAATTCAATTCAGTTTATTTATATAGCGCCAAATCACAGCAAAGTTGTCTCAGGGCACTTTACAGAAACATTCACATACATAAGAGCCAATTAGTAAAGTTCTCTATCTAAGGAATCTTCTGAACCTGAGTCAATGTAGGAAGCATCTCAAATAGGTCAAGGAAAAGAAGGGTTGGACCGTTGGCCAGTGGTCCAAGGTCCTCTTTTCCGATGAAAGTAAAGTGTGCCTTTCATTCAAAAATTAAGGTCCAAGGGTTTGGAGGAAGAAGGTTGAGGAGCAGAACCCATACTGCTTGAGGTCCAGTGTGAAATATACAGTCAGTCATGATTTGGGGTGCAATGTCTGGAGCAGGTGTTGGTAAACTCTGCTTTCTTAAATCCAAAGTCACCGCAACAGTCTACCAGAATGTTTTAAAGGACTTCATGATTTCTTCTGCTGAGGATCTGTACGGAGATGCAGATTTCATCTTCTAGCAGGACCTGGCCCCTGCCCATGCCGCCAGAAGCACCAAAACCTGGTTTGATGCCCATGCCATCACAGTGCTTGACTGGCCGGCCAACTCGCCAGACCTAAACCCCATTGAGAATCTATGGTGTATTCTCAAGAGGAAAATGAGGGGCACCAGACCCAACAACAAAGAAGAGCTGACAGCAAGCATCAAGGAAATCTGGGCTTCTGTATCTCCCAGGCAATGCCACATGGCATCAAGGCAGTGATTAAGGCAAAGATTGACATATCGTTTTGAAAGTACCATATTTTTATTGATTTGTTGTGATTCTAATTTCTTTCTTTTTTTTCTGCAAAAACTGAGTAGTGTGGGCTGATTTCTTCATAGTATACAAATTTTTTGTTTTTGTGGGTTTCATGAGCTGAAAGCCCAAATTATGTAAAAATAAACAAATAAATACTTGAAATTGTTTAAATTGTGAGTCCTGAATCCATCATCTATTACAGTTCAATTTTTAGAATTGAATTATGTAAGTTAACTTTTCCATGATATTCTAATATTTTTGGAAAGGGTCTGTAGGTGTTTACTACAACCATTTTCATTCTCTTGGCAAAATCCACCACCAACTGTCCTTCCTGGTTTATTTTCTTGACACCAAACCTACCCATCACTTCCTCATCCTCTCCGTTTCCTTCACCAACATGTCTGTTCAGGTCATCTCTGATCACCACTCTCTCCTCCCAGGGAATATTCTCTATCAATTCCCCCAGATCCTTCCAAAATGTATCTTTCTCCTCCACATCACATCCAACCTGTGGAGCATAACCACTGACAACATTCAACATCAGACCTTCTACTTCTACCTTCAGACACATCACCCTATCCGACACTCTTTTCACCTTTACTACATTCTTTGCCAACTCCTCCTTCAGAACCACCCCTACTCCATTTCTCTTTCTATCCACACCATGGTAAAACAGGTGAAACCCTGCTCCAATGCTGTGAGCCTTGCTGCCCTTCCACTTGGTCTCTTGGAAACACAAAACATCTACCTTCCTTCTCTGCATCATGTCAGTCAGCTCTCTACCATTGCCTGTCATTGACTCCATGTTTAGAGTTGCAACCCTCAGTCCTACACTCTTGACTTTCCTCCTCCCTCTGTCTCCTGACATGTTTCCCTCCTTGTGGTTTTCGACCAACAGTAGCACAATTTCTGCCGGCACAATGTTTGTCAACAGCAGCCGTGGTGGCCATTGTTAAACCGAGCCTAGACTGATCTGGTATGGTTTCGCTTTGATGAACTCAAATTATAGTTTTGGCAAAAGTGTTTTACGTCGGATGCCCTTCCTGACACAACCCTCACCATTTATCCGGGCTTGGGACCGGCACAATAGATACACTGGCTTGTGCTCCCTAGTGGCTGGTTATTTATGAAACAATGTGTGAAAATGCAATGTTTATACTTTTTTGCAATGTTTCTTGTGTCTTTTTCAACAGCCTTGATCATGGCCTGGTTTGATGGCAGCTTCCTATGTCCTGAAAAGCCAAACACAAAAACATGACATGCAGCCAACAGACAAGGCAGAATCAAAGAACAAATGATTTGATCTTTAAGTGAGAACCTCAGTCGTTTTTGTTAAAGCACGGTCTTACCTGCGAAAACACGGGTAACAAAACGGGCCTGCATTTCAGCTTGTGGCATGATGGCTCCATCAGAGTGGATAAAACCCACAATAGCTAAGGTGGGATGCTCCAGGTTTGGAGCGAAGACATGTTTGTAAAGACCAACTCTGTGTCCAGACTTGTATATTGAATTTTTTGGCAAGTAAGGGAAATCATAATTGTATCCTGTGGCAAACACAATCATATCCACCTGTAATGCAGACAACATAAGAGTATAAGAGTTGCTGAGTTTGTTCTTGAGGTTAATAAGTTGCATTATATCACACAATTTACTGACATTCTCCACAGTGCTGCCATCATCAAACACCACAGTGGACCCTTGGATCTCTTTTATGTTGGGTTTAACGAGGACTGATCCAGACAAAATCTTAAAGGGAAGGTCATCATTGATCACTGGAATCTGGCTGAAGAGCCTATTTAACATACAGAAAAAAACATCATATATTCATTATAAAATACTCCAATAAAAAATGATAAAAAAAAAAAAAAGTAATTTAAATAGTGGTTATAATTATCAGGTACATTTTTTGGCAACCTATTCATTTTTTGTGGAATAACCAGAAGTTATGATACGACTTGCAATCTTTTTTATGCTAACTTTCCATGTTCTATGGTAAAAGTGGAATGATTCATGTTTTATGGCCAGCCATGCAGTGTTTTTCTGATTGCTCTGCTAATTTATCCCTTCTCAACACCTTCATGCAGCTGACCTGTGCCACTCCCAATTTTACCCCTGCTGCACCTGTGAACTGCACTTCTTAAGCGCTCCCCAGTCTTTGCCTCCCTGCCAGATTATGACCACCTCGTGCCTAAGTAATCCAGCGTTCTTTGCCTGATCTCGCTTGCTCCCTTTTTCGACCCACTTCATGACCATGGATTCTCATCTTTTGCCTTGCCCATGACAGATAACTTCTGCCCATTGGATATCTGGACCTCGACTCTCGCTCTGCTTTCTGACCACCGATTCTCACAACCCCCCCGATACATATTGCCCTTTCTGCCTCTCTGTGAATGACCCATGTCTGAATTTTGACCACAATCTCAGACCCCAGATTCTAGGAGTTGTGAGTTTCTACAACCAAGCTCCACGAGCTGAAGAGGAGCATTTGTTGGATCTTCCAGGTCGCACTAACGTATCACGTGATCTGGCTGTACCTCTGTCCCTCCTACCCTCCCTTCCTTCTGACGTCATTGCAGCTGCTGCATTAGGGCCCGTGACCAAATGCCGCAGGTTAGTGTTCACAGTTGAACAGCAGGGTCTCAAAACCATCTCAGTCACCAACCTGTTTTCTCTCCCTGCAGTTTCAGCTGACAACCTCCCTCAGAGGGCTCTTTCCTGACAAATATTCAATAAATCTTTTCATTCACTCCTGTGTTGTGGTTCAATTTCTGGTTCCCCAGTGTAAATCATTACAAAAGGAATTATTAATGCACTTCAATTAGTGGACATTTGCTATTTAAATGTTCCCTCCAGTTTCTACACGATTGAACATTTTCTTTATCATTACACCAGTCAGTATTAACTTTAAGGCCACTGTCATTTATTGTTAGTCCCATTTTGATGACAAGCTAACAGCAGATTATTCATTAACACATCAGTCTTATGAATCAAGTAGAACATCCTTTTTCTAGTATTTTCAACTTTTTCAATACTGAATGTTAGAATTTCATTCATCTTTCATCTTCACCATTCATTTTTGTTAATATTAGATTTGAAATATACAATAAACAAAACTCTAATATGAATATCATACCTGTGTTTGGGTTTGAGCCCATACATGGCATGATCATACATGGCATTAAGTTTTTTTTCACCCAGCCAGTTGAGCAAACTCATGGGCAACAGCTTGAACAAGACATGAACAAAGCGTGAGTTGAACCTGTCCACTGGTCGGCCATTGTCAGAAACCTGACGGATGACCCAGGCACCACTGCGAGTGCTCAGATACACCTGCACAGGAGAAGCAACAACACACAGTTATCCTACATTGTCAGCACATCACATCACTGAAGATAAAATAAAAACATTACAAGGAAGACAAATCATAACATTTTCTGACCTGCTCTGCAACCCTGCTGCCCTCCACAGCAATATCGCCTCCTGAGTTACCAATGCCGATGACCACCACCCTCTTTCCGTACATGTCCTCAGGTCCCTTGTAGTCCCAACTGTGAAAGTACGTTCCTTCAAACGTCTCAATTCCTGCCATACATTGAATTATGTATTAATACATAAAAACGCACTTTTACTGTAATTGCCAGTGTATAAGCCGCTACTTTTTTCCCCATGCTTTGGACCCTGCAGCTTATACACAGGAGTGGCTAATTGGCTAATATGTACTTTTTAAAATTAGAATATTTTATTTTTATATTTTATTTTGACAGGCTTCCAAGCTTCCTGCCGCTGAATAACATTTTCCTTTTGTTACAAGGCGAGCTGATTGCGGGTCCCGAGTTACTGCAGCTAGCTGTTGCTAGCTGTGGGTCTCAGGCCTCATCAGACCCCAGGTCCACCTCCAGCTCACGCTGTCCCCTGGCTCAGTCCTCCCTTAGAAGTGGCAACTCACACTATCAATAAACCAAGGAAACGTGAATTAAGTTTTACCAAGTGTATTAAATCAAGGCAGGAGAAGGTTACGGTTTACAGCGCTGGCCGGTCTGGTACACGACGCAAGATCAGGAACTGGAAGGGTCGGATGTCCCATGGCATTATAGATTTATAGGCCGCTAGACTCCTCCTTCGCGGAAGGGGAGCACAGCCAATCATGTGGATGAGGGGGAGGGACTAAGTGTGATCTCAACTGGACTTTATGTGGTTTTAACGTGTAAGGAAAAAATGAGAATGTGCTTAAAAGCCTTTCTGCGTGATGGAAGCCAAAATAAAACTATTCCTTGACGGATATTGAATCCCTGGGAGACTCTTTTTAGAGTTGCTGGCCCCGTCTAAACCAGGTCATAATGTCATTATAATCCTATCTCTGAGTAGATCAAAAACCCAAGGTCAGTCTAGATAAAAATACTAACATTTTGACACACCTGGGCTCTAATATAGCTGCCCAACATGGGCTTTTGTGACAGAGTGAATGCCACAGGTACTCATGACAGATATCTCTCGCTCATGGTTCCAAGTTTGCTACTACTGTCCATGGTGTCCCCCACCTCTTGCACAGTGATGGCTGGACATGGGCACCAGTGACTGCCGAGACCCGAAAAGGAAGAAGCGGGTAAAAGATAATGGATGGATGGATGGTAAGTACCCATAATCCCCACTCTGTAGCCATGTTACCAGAGGACACCCTATTGACCAGTGAGGTACCTACCGTACTCAGTGAGTCACAAAAACACACCTCCAAGACAGACGTGCATTTATCAAATTTCTTTTTCAAAAATCTTCTGGCTCCTTAAATAACACGAACTAACTTTTATGTGTGAATGTTTTCTGTGCAGTGCCCTGAGACGACTTCTGTTGTGACTTTGCGCTATAAATAAACAAAAGTTCAAGGTTCTTGTCATTCGCATCACATGTGGAACATGTTCTGCTTAGAATGAAATTATGTACACAGGGTCCCAGTTAAATCTAACAATAGCAAAAATATAAATTGTAAAAGAAACGGTACTAAGGATCAAAGATATAAACTAAGAAATGAGCTAAATACTTAATTGTGCAAAACAATACGAACAACAGCAGCACGAATACGAGTCTGTGTGAGTAGATGAGCATGAATGAATACAGCAGCATGAAATAAATCAGCAGCATGAGATCAGCAGGATGGATAATCAGCAGCGTATACCAACAATCAAAGTGGCATTACAGTGACTTTTTTTTTCTAATTTAAAATATTTATATTTAAATATTTTTATATTTACTGGTAATAATTAGATTTCAATTTAAATAAAGTAAATTAAAAAGAAAAACTGAATAGATGAGGGGAGGAGACCTACGTGAACACAGTTTGCAGCAGCGGGGGTTTCACTGTGCAGATTCCGACTGAAAGCTGGCCAAAAATTTTATTTTAAATCGCCACAGACACATCCATCCATCCATCCGGGGACGTAGTCTGTCACCTCAGAATATGAGGAAAACAGTTTCACTTTCACCCAAGAGGAAAATTCTATCGAACTTTGTTTTTTAACCAGCCACGTTTTGTGTACTGGTACGTTAGATTAGATTAGATTAGATGTATACTTTATTGTACCCAAGGGGAAATTTGTCTTGGACATCATGCGCTAAACAAAGCTTCTTCCACAATTAAATACACTACAAACAATAAAATCATGTGAACATCACAATAAAATAAAAAATTAAAATCACCTATTACTCAATAAAAACACATATTGCACATTCCCACATACATTCCAGCAAGTAAACGAAACAACAAATCAGACCAGAGCATCAGCAGCATGACAAAAGACTATATGCCTACTTTATTTAACAATGTGATTTATGTAGGGACAAATAAATTTTACATACACATATTTAATAAATGCATATTATAGGGTACATATTTTAACAAAAGCTTTAAAATTCTTTCTGTGTCACATCTTTCTGTGTATGGTAAATATGTGTTTAAATACCGGCATCTCATTTTCAGCTCACATCCTAACATGAAATGGAGCGGAGACAACAGGAGGGGCTATTCCCCCTCCCCATTAGTAATGTGGGCTAAGCGGAGCAGAAGTCACATCACATTTATTTTTAAAGCAGTCACAGTCAGTCAAGACTGGCACATATTTAAATAAAAGTTTTAAAAAAATCTTTCTGTGTATGTAAAAATCATGGATGATTGAGCTTAATCCCCCCTTTTCTTTTAAATAATGTTACAAGCTCTTAGCAAGAGAAGGGGGGGGGGGGGGTCCCCTCTCCCATGAGTCATGTGACTCATGAGTCATGCAGGCTCCATGGAGCAGGAGTCACATCAAATTTATGTACAGAGTACATTTAAAAGCTGCAGCTGTTACCAAGTGTTTAACAATAAAAATCAATGGTATTAATTTAATGAATATTTACTGTATTTTACCCGTACTTTTTGACTCCTGGTCACATGACCTCAATAAGGATTGTGGGTCAAATTTACAGGTATGTAATTTTTAAATAATTTCGGTTACGTACGTGCTTGGCACTGTTCTGTCCAGTGATTACCAGTACTATGTTATGCTTAGATGGTTTTTGTGTTCATTCTCTAGGTTGAATGGTTATTTACCATATTGATGATGATCATCAGTGACCATCAGAGTTTATTTGTCATTAGCATCACATGTGGTACATGTGGTGGAACGAGATTGTGTAAACAGTCTCAGTTACATCCAACAATAAAATGGAAAAGAAAAACAGTAATAAGATCTAAGATATGAACTAAGAAAAACATCAACTAAAAATATGCTAAGTACTAATAGCATAAAAACAATACCCCGAACAGCAGCACATACACGAGTCTGTATAAGCAGATGAGTACAAATTAACACAACATGAAACAGATCAGCAGCAACATGAAACAGATCAGCAGCAACATGAAACGGATCAGCAGCAACATGATGTGATTTTTCACAGTGATTATTCTGGTTAGAGATTCATGAGTCTAACAGCGTCAGGGTAGAAGCTGTTCCTCAGTCTAGTGGTTCTACACTTGATGCTCCTTAACCTCCTTCCTGAGGGGAGCGGGATAAAAAGTGTATGTGCTGGGTGAGTGGGGTCCTTCGTGATGCAGGTGGCCCTCTTCCTGCATCTGGAGGTGTAAATGTCTGTGATGGTGGGGAGGCTGACTCCAACAGACTTCTGTGCAGCCTTCACCACTTTCTGCAAAGCTTTTCTTTCTGCAGCTGTGCAGCCTCCATGCCACACGTTGATGTTGGAGCACAGGATGCTCTCCACTGCACACCTGTAGAAGGAGGTGAGGACTGAGCTTCCCAGACCAACTCATCTCAGCCGCCTGAGGAAGTAGAGTCTCTGATGAGCTTTCTTGATCAGGCTGGTTGTGCTTGTTGCCCCAGCTGAGGTTGTCATTCAGGTGCACATGGTCCTTGTAGCTGGAGACCACTTCCACTGCAGATCCTCCTATGTTTGTGGGGGGGGGGGTTCCTTCTGAAGTCCACGACCATCTCCTCTGTCTTCTTCACACTAATGTGAAGGTTATTCTCTTTGCACCAGCTCTCCAGGTGTTCCACCTCCTGCCTGTAGCTGGACTCATCATTGTTTGTGATGCATCCCACCACCGCTGTATCATCTGCAAACTTTAAAATGTAACAGCCTGGATGGGTAGTTGCAGTCATACGTGAGCAGAGTGAACAGGAGAGGGCTCAGCACACAGCCCTGAGGGGAGCTAGTGCTGAGGGTTATGGTGGAGGAGGAGAAGTTGTGGATCCTCACTGACTGTGGTCTTTTTGTTAAGACGTCTAGTACCCAGTTGCAAATGGAGGGGCTTAGTCCTAGTGTGGATAGTTTGTCCATCAGGGTTTGGGGGATCATGGTGTTGAAGGCAGACGTGAAGTCCACAAAGAGCATACGGACGTTGGAGTCCTTCTGCTCCAGGTGGGTGAGAGCAGTGTGGACCACAAAGGAGATGGCATCCTCTGTTGATCAATTCTCGTGGTATACGTACTGATGAGGATCCTCGTTGATGTTGATGGTTGTTTTGATGGGTCTTCAAAGCGTGCATAGAACTTGTTGAGGGCATCAGTCAGTGATGGGTCTTTAGGGCATTGTTCCCTTCTGCGTTTTTAATCTGTTATAGACTTAATGCCCCTCCAACTGCTCCGGGGGTCTTTTGAGGTGAATTGACCCTGAATCCTCTATGTATATGTGGCCTTGGCCCTTTTAATACCAGCAACCAGCTCCTTCCTTGTCTTTCTCAGCTCCTGTGAGTTTCCAGACCTGAAGGCAGTGTTCCTGGCTTCCAGCAGGGTGCGAACCTCTGCATTCAGCCAAGGTTATCTGTTTGGGTAACTCTTAACACATCTGATGGTGTACAAAATCTGTACAAAATGATGTACAAAATTAGGGCTTGATATCTATATATGTCGCAATATACTTTTATTCAATAACGGTGATATGAGTTTTAAGCACATTTTCGATATTTCGATATGATTACAGCGTTTCACTGACGCATTTCTTTTTCTGTTTGGGTTGAAGCGGCTGCTTCAGTTTCAACCCGAACAGAAAAAGGTGCGACACAGCTATGTAAGTGCGTGGTGACGTAGATGTTACGCAGAGCTCGAGTCCAGAAGGTGTTAGCGGTAGCAGGCTAGGCTAGGCTAATCTCCAACGCGCGTTAAGTTTTTGCTTCAAAATGAGTGCCCATGACCGCCAGAATGTGATTGAACAAGCTTTCACAAGCGAAGAGAAAGCAGATGACATAAATGATAAAAGAGGAAAGATTAATTCAGCGGTGTGGAAGTGAGATCTGATGAACTGCAGGTTTCAGTCATTGTGCTGCAAAATGTGACGGACAGTCGTTCCAACTAGCGGTGTGAACATCTAACTTGTTCCACTCGATAGAATATGCTGAGACTCTGAAGATGAAGCACAATAAAGTTTGAGCCAACGTGTCCCTGAAACACCCCAGCTGTATCAAAAGAGAAGGTTATGTTGTTTAAAGTTAAAACTATTGACAAAGTTGAGAGTTTTATGTTTATTTGACAGTGATTTCAAATTTATTTGAAGACAAAATACAAATGAAAGGTAAACATTAATTTATTTGTACAGTTTGTACAGTTTTTTTAGGCTTTTATATTGTTTATATCAATATTGAATTATATCGTTACTGACCGAAATTAAGAAATATATTGTGATAAAAGTTTTGGCCGTATCGTCCAGCCCTATACAAAATTGTGTTTTATTTTAAATTCAGTATGCGCGGCTTACAGGCAAGTGCGTTCTATAGACCGGCAATTACGGTATATTGTTCAGCCAAAAATAATTTAACAAGGATGCAATTTGCAATATTTAAGGCTATTGTGAATTTGTACCTGGGAAGTCTTTGAGTGGCAGGTTAGGATAGTTGAAGTGGCCAGAGCAGCAGATAACTGCATCAAAGACATGCCTCTCCTCTAGACCATCTCTGTCCTCTGTGACCACATCCCACTGGCCAGTGCGAGAAAAGTCTGGTCTCTGGGTGACACTCTTCACTGAGGTCTAAAGTTTAAAACACAATTATTACAAGTGAAACAATGCATTACCATTTAGCCAAATATGATCTTTCATTACCTGGAAGCGAATGTGCGAGAGTAGCTTAAAGTGCTCTGCATACATCCTGAAATATTTTAGGATTTTAGAATGATGCATATAGTTAGGGTAATCAGGTGGGATGGGGAAGTCACTGTAGCACATCATCTCCTTCCAGATATTGATAGTTAGGGAGCGGTAGATGCTGGCCCTGTTTGGCTCTGAGACTTCCTGCAAAGAAGAGATGTTAAACAGTCGATGTTAAGAAATTATGGGGAAATCCTGACATCTTATTCAGCTCTTCAAAAGATGAAATTGTGATCAATAAGTTTCCCACAAAAAGTCATGCCTTGAATTTCCACAGTCCACCCATGTCATCACTGCTTTCAAAGCAGGTTGGCTCCAAGCCTTCATCCAGACAAGCCTTAATGCTGGTCAGACCTGAGGGACCCGACCCGATCACTGCTACTCTACGCACCATGATGAAGCTGCAAAAGGACAAGAGAAAGATGAAACTAGAAACTAAATAACAATTAAACTATTAACTGAGCAGCTAATTTAAAGTTAGCCTGTCAGCTCATTATGATGTTTCAATCCAGTTTCCTGTCACACTGATTATTTTTTTTTCAGAACATAATATATATTAATGATGAACCCATCTGTGATTGGCTCCTGCTCAAACAACAAAATAACCTTGTAGAATGCTTAAAAACAAGTTTAAGACAAAATTGCTGTAGAAACAAAAAGTATACACAAATCTGGACTCAAACCCATACATCAAGTTAGCAATTTTTGAGCTAAAAAACAAAGTATCCTGGTGGGTTCAGCAGCATATTTTCTTGTTTGTACTAGTGTCACATTTGGGTCTGATCGGTCACTAGGTCACCCGTCCAGGGTGTACCCCGCCCCTCGCACAGTGATTGCTGGACATGGGCGACCCCCGTGACCCAAAATGGACGAAGCGTGTAAAAGATTATGGATGGATGGATGGATGGACGGATGGACGGTCACCAGGTATACTGATTGTTGTGTTGGACTAAGTTTGATTTAAAGGATAATTGGATTCTGTGGAAATATTGTAAATAATTTACTTATCTGTTGTAGGTAGGAGTGCCTTCTGTTTTAAGAAACATTTTAATTCTAACCTGATTAAAAGCTAGGAACTTGTCTGGGCAAGGCCAAGACCAAAGTGGATTGCTGCCATTTCAATGCAACACCATTATTTAAAAAAAATTCCTTTACATTGTAATCAGTGGTAATTTCCATATAATTTATAGATATTTACAAGAAGAGGCAACAGTAGCTTGTTCTAGCAAAATGCAGTCTGGGATCATTATCAGCAGAAATTTCTACCAAAATAACAAGGACTAGTGCAAACTTTATGGTAATGTAAAGGCTGAAATATAACTGCACGCATGAACTACTATAACATTTTGAAGACTGGAGTTGCTTTCATACAACTTCAATCTGCCAATGGACATCAGACTTCTCTGGTCATACTGAAAAACTAATAATGGTTTGTCTGAAGGGACCAAAATTGCTGTTATTCTTAACAACCACTCCTAAATTTGATAGCATTTGATGAAAACACACTTTTTCTAAAACTTGTACATCTCCAAAAGTTTTGCACCAGTCATTATGGCAGAAATATGATTAAATTCTTGTTGAAAATGATCCCAGGATCCAGAGAATGTTTTACAGCTACCTGCTGATGCTCTTCTTAATGATTGTAAAATCCCACAAAATCTTATGTAAATACCAGTTGTAACTCACCTCATAGGTGAGTTACAACTGGTTACACACTGGTGTTTAAATGTTCTACACTCAATATGACCATGTATGGACATTTCAACATATTGTGAATACACTGTCAGTGATGCAAACGACATACCCTTTTCTAACAAAACTTATTTATGCTTATTTATTATTAATATTAGCTTAGAAATAATCAACAACACAGGATTAAAGTTTAGAACTTTATGATCTCATATAATTCAAACAAACAAAAAACATCCATAGTAATTCCAAAATATTTCACTCCGTAACAAAGTCTCACAGTTTCGGATTATCAAATGTCAGCAAGTAAACTGATCAGGACTCTGTATCACAGAGCAGACAGCGTCCCCACTAGCTCAGGAGCCAGGCAGAAGGAGAAATCCCACACAAGACAGGCTCTAGAGCAATGTGGATATCCTAACTGGTCCTTCCTGAAAGCAGAGAAGAAACCCAAACAGGACTCCAGTCAGCCAACAGGTGAAAAGGAGGAACCCAGACCCAGACCAGTGGTCATTCCGTATGTTGAGGGAGTATCAGAGAAACTGAGACGTTTATTTTCTAAACACAACGTCCCAGTGGCTTTTAAACCCCAAAATACATTACGGCAAAGACTGGTTCATCCCAAAGATCTAGTCCCCCAGCACAAACAGAGTAATATTGTGTATGCTGTTCAGTGTCAGGAGGGTGATCAGTCTTACATCGGGGAAACTAAACAGCCACTGGCCAAAAGGATGGACCAGCACAGAAGATCAACATCATCAGGCCAGGACTCTGTGGTCTACACTCATCTCCAGGCCAGCGGTCACTCTTTCAGGGATGAAGATGTTCACATCCTGGACAGAGAGGAACGATGGTTTGAAAGAGGAGTAAAAGAGGCCATCTTTGTGAAAAGAAATCGTCCATCATTAAACAGGGGTGGAGGCCTCCGGGTTCAACTGTCCCCCTCTTACAATGGTGTGATTGCTAGTATCACTCAGCTCCCTGTGAATAGTAAACAGCCATCAGTGTGCTAATGATCCATTGTTAGGCTGATGGTCCTTCTTGAGCATGTGATCAGCTGGTTTTGGTTGTCAGCAGCAAAACTGGTTGATCCACTCTGAGAAGGTGCTATTTAAGAGACTGAGCTGAATACAGCTCCTCAGGCTGAGGAAGTCTTTCAGATAGATGAAAGACGAAACATTTCTACAATTTTTTTTGTTTTGTTTTTTGAATGTCCAGAGGACCAGATTTAACTTTTTTAGATTTTTCTACCTGGATTATTGAGCATGCATCGGGATTATCAAATGGTTTACACAACATCAAGTGGGCCCACACTCTCTAACATACAACTAAACTGGCATATAATTAAATTAATTTTGTTCAAATGAAATAAAACCCCATTGCAGACCTGATGTGTTGCTGAAGAGTGGAGGGAATATGGTGCCTTACTCCAAAGTCAAGGTCTGGGCAATTCAACTAAATTGCTTGTTACAGAAAGCCAAGAGTTCAGAAGACACCCAGCGGTTATTGTCTAAGTTTGTTTTACGGTTTAAATTCTAGTTTTATTTAACCACTGGTGGACCAAACGGAGCTCACCCGTGGGCCTGATTTGGCCCCCGGGCCACCAGTTGAATAGCCCTGTCTGGAACTTCATCTGTCTCTGTCAGTCCAAGTTGAAAAAAAAAAAAAAGTACGGGATGTTCTCAGCTCCTTTAACCCGTCTCTCGGTCCAGTGAAGATGCAGTGCTCCAGCTCAGTCACATAAAACTCCCAGGCTCATCTATCTGCACAGAACCAGGAGCTTCCAAGCCACAAACATTAGTTTAGTCTCTTCCTGTTAGCTGGGTTAGCCACACGCCACTTAACGTCCGTTCACTTCGCTAATGAACGCTAATGCATTAGTGAGCAATAAACATAAACTCACCACTAATGTACTGCAAAGTCCGGGTTGAAATATTCAAAACACCGAGGTAGAGTTGATGCACGTACACAGACTGTCCAGTTGAACGACTAAAACATCACCGAGACACCGGGTTCAACTAACTTTGCCACGTCTTTTGCAGGGAACACTCTCAAGCTGCAAGTTGCGACTCCTCTTTGTAACTCACCCCCCCCCCCCCCCCACCCCCACCCCCACCCCCGTCTCCATTCACTTCCTGGAAATACCCCAGTGCACTGCACAACTTCCTTTTTCAACCATGAGCTTTTCAAAATTTAAAAAAATATGTGGCAAAGCTTCTTTTATAACCAAAAGTATCTTAAACCACACATTAGTACATTTTAAAACTTCTTATTCCATACTACTTTTAGTCTTCACAAACAGCTTTTTCTTTATCCTGATGCATGCTTTTTCTTTACTTATCTGTATTTAACACAATGATTTTAACGCATTTATGTATACTACTATGTATTTACCTCAATGCAAAATATAATTATTTTGACTGGGTTACATAGTGAATAGTAGAAATGACAGTGGATTCAAGGTCTATGCATGATACCTGAAGACATCTGTGAGATTAGAGCAGAAATTCACTTTGGTCATGACTACATAATTAAGGACCAACCATCAGTCCAACTGTTCCATCCATTCATCCATCCATCCATCCATTTATCCATCCTTACACGCTTTTTCCATGAGGGGTCACTGGTGCCCATATCCAGCAGTCTCTGTGCAAGAGGCCAGGGACACCCTGGACAGGTTGCAGGTCCATCACAGGGACACATAGAGACAAAGAGACAAATAATTTAGAGTTACCAGTTAGTTACTCTAAAATAATTCTAACTCCTTTTCATTCTTCTTTCCTTAGGTAGATAACTTCACTAATTGGCATATTTAACGTATGCAAATGTTTTTGTTCAGTGCCCTGAGATAACTTTTGTTGTGACTTCCATCCATCCATTATCTTTTACCCGCTTCTTCCATTTTGGGTCACGGGGGTCGCTGGTGCCCATATCCAGCAATCACTGTGCAAGGGGTGGGGTACACCCTGGACAGGTCGCAAGTCCATCACAGGGCCACATAGAGACAAATGAGACAAACAACCATTCACTCTCTCACTCACACCTAGGGACAATTTAGAGTTACCATTACCAATCAGTCTAACATGCATGTTTTTGGTCTGTGGGAGGAAGCTGGAGTGCCTGCAGAGAACCCATGCATGCACAGATAGAACATGCAAACTCCACCCAGAAAGGCCCCCAGCCGGGATTTGATCTGGCGGTGACCTTATAGCTGAGAGGCAACAGCTCTACCAATTGAGCCACCATGCCGCCAGAGACATACTCATGATTTCTCTAAACTGTTTTCACAAAATCCACTTTACAACAGGTAAGACCAGAACTGGCACTAGCCAATTTGGCACCCAAGGCAAGTTTTTAGGCAGCACCACCTGCACCATGTTCAAATTCTCATTGACAATTTACATGCACTCACACAAAGGCTTAATATTTTTGCCTTTGATATTATCCTTATTTTATTTTAGAAACCACATTGTCCATTTCAAACAGTTAACAACATAATGAATTTGAAACAGGATGTCATGTTTCTGCCTCTCTGTCACTCTGTCACACCCCACTCTTCACCCGCAGCCTCATCAGCACTGATTCACTGCACCTGTTCTGCTCCTGAATTAAGGAATCCTCTCGCCACTCTGCCATATTATTAGACTTTTCTTGGTATCTGTTATCCAGCCATCTAGTTCTTGTTCACGCCTGATGTTCATGCCTTGTTCTTTGGATTTACTGTTCTGCCTGCTCCCTGTCTGTTCTCATCTTGCCATTCTGACCCTGTTACTGACTACTCCTTCTGGACCATGAACTTCAAATTATGGCTCACCCCTTTGGATTTGTCTTTGGATCTCTGACCCCCTGTGCCTGACCCTTATTCATCTCTCTGACCCCACTCTTGGATTTTCCCCATGAACCATGTTATCACAACTCTGTCCTGCAACCAGTGCCAGTGACGTCATCGCTGCATGCTCTGACAGTTGGCTCTCAACCCACCCGCCTGTAAAGATGTATTTCCTCCAGCAGCTGCAAGTCAATCAGTTATTTTGTTTGTTTTGCACTCTTGTTGTCTGGCTATATTTTGTATCCAAAAATCTAGTCCCTGGCACAGGATATCAAAAGTCTACACCATGCATTCCAACATTTGCTGATGGCAAAGATGGAAACATATGTATTAATTAACATTCATGCCCCCTACAATAAAAAATAAAATAAAATAGTCAGCCATTTGAAGTGCATTTTACTAAATTCTTGGGATTCATAAAAAAATATAAAATCTGTATATTATGAAGATACAACACTGATAACTAGCCTTTAAGTTGACCTAAGTTAAAGATCATATTTGAAAATTGCATTAGCCTTTTTTATTGCACACTGAGCACCATGAGGGTACTAGGGGTGCGGTACTGGTGAAGTGAGTCAGATTGATGGTCAAACCTTGGATTCAGGAGGAACAATACAAATTCTACCCTGGAACACTGGATCAGCACTTTACCTTCACTATGGTTCTCAGGGGGTCATGGGAGTTTGTCCATCCAGTCTGCATGTGTTTTTTGGACATGGAGAGGGCATTCAACCATGCTCCTTGAGATACACTGTGGAGGGTGCTCTGCTAGGCTATTCAGTCCCTATACAAGTGGTGCGAGAGTTTGATTCTCATTGCTGGCAGTAAGTTAGACTCCTTCAGGGTGGAAGCTGTACTCCACCAGGGCTCCCCATTGTCACTGATTTCACATTGCAGCTGGGGGGCAGAGAGAGTCCAGTTCAGTGACCTCAGGATTCCATCATCTATGCTATTTGTGGATGATGTGGTCCTGTTAGCATTATCATGCCACTGAAGTGGTTCGCAGCCCAGTGTGAAGCAGCGAGGATGGGAAACAGCACCTCCAAATATAAAGCCTTGGTTCGCAATTGGAAATGGGTAGCTTGCCCCCTTCTGGTTGGGGGTGAGGTGCTAGCTCAAGGGAGGAGTTCAAGTATCTTGGGATTTTGTTTACAAGTGAGAGAAGAATGGAGCATGAGACGGACAGGCAGATCGATGCAGCTTCTGCAGTATTGCAGACTCTGTGACATTCTGTTGTGGTGAAGCTGTGGAGGAGCTGAGCTGTAAGATGAAGCTCTCTGTTTACCAGTTAGGCTGCATTCCTACTTTCACCTATGTCCATGAACTCTGGATAGTGACCGAAAAAACAAGAAAGATGATACAGATTGTCGAAATGAGTTTTCTCCACAGGGTAGCTGGACTCTCTCTTAGAGACAGGGAGAGAAGTTTGGTTATCTGGGAGACACAGAGTAGAGCTCCTGCTTCTCCACATCAAGGGGAGCCATTTGAGCTGGTTTGGGTATTAGATATGGATATCCCATGGGTGCTTCTATAGGGAGGTGCTCTGGGCATGTCTGACTGAGCGGAGACCCTGGGGAAGACCCAGGACATGCTGGAAGAACTACTGTATGTCTCTATGCTGCCAGAACATCTTGGAATCCTCCCAGAAGAGCTAGAAGAGATGGTTGAGGAAAGACATATCTGAGCCTCCCAAAGCTGCCCCTGAGACCCGACTTTGGAACAAGCAGAATATAATGGGTGAATAGATGAATGGATGGACAAACACCACAAGTTTGTCTTGTACTACTATTACTAAACTGTACTTAATCACAAAATATAATGTGAACCATATAACCTTATGTACAGTGGGAACAAAGCAGGCTATCCCAAGAACTTAACTAATACCACAGAAAAAGTAGCCTTCATAAATCTAACAAGGTTAAGTCAGGGCCTCAGGGCCTCCAGAGGACCTGATTTAACCAATTAGATTTATCTACCTGGATTATTGAGCATTCATCAGGACATAGCCTTCATAAACCCCAGTTAGCAAAGATTGTTCTACATTTTTTCACAGTCAGCTGTTTACATGCTGCACTGTCTTATGTGGGTTTGTGGTTATGTATATATACAGTAAACTTAATGTAATGCCTTTGCAGTGTTCTAACGTTTCTACAACACATTTTTAGTAACTCCAGCACTGTTTTCTCAGCTCTTTTGTTAGCCAAACCCTACATGTAACTGCAGCCTCTGTTATAAAACAGTTCCTAGAAACTACATGAAGGTCAAAGGTGATTTTACTGTGAGATCAGTTGAACTGAACGACCTCCCTGAATGTGATTTACTGTGTGTGAAATCCGAGCAACCAGTCGAGTATGTTGAAACCTTTCACCATCAGCTGTATTTCCTCTGGTTGAGGAATGCCTAAATGTAAGCTGCATTTTACTGTCTCTGTCTTAACTTTGTTTACACTGCAGGAATGAAGACATCAGTCCATAATAAATGATTGATGTACAGCTTAGAAACAGAAATCAGGATTTATTTTGCAGTCCATACAGGAATTGTTATCTTACCCCCTTTCTAAAGATAATACATAAAGTATTTTACTCTGCATTTTTAATGGCAAAATAATTAAAACTAATATGACAGCAAAATGAAACAAACAAAGAAAACAAATGAAGAGGACAACATTCCTGCAAACTGAAAAATACTTTTTGTTTTGTTGGCAATAAATTTAAAACCAACAGTCTAGTTTTGACTTTTTGCATTTATAAAATATAATTCTGGTATACATTATCAATAAGAACACAAAAGTATAAATAAAAAAAGCAGTTCCCATATTTAAACATACATCTTTTGCAGAGGAAAACTGAAAAATAAAGGATGATATTTATTTATTTATGTCAGTTCAAATCACAGCCAAATAACATGTTGATTTCTATAATTACAAAAACTGTGAATAAATATAATCTGTGCAGCATGTTAAAAAGCAGCTGTTTTACTTACCTTGTGTGCTTCTTTGTCTGAGTCTGAAAGGAGGGAGGAGAGGCAACAGAGCATGGCTTTTATACTAAGACGGAGACCCATGGCATACTTCTTTTGTCCCTCAGAAAACATAAACTGTGTCTGTACAGGAGGGGGTTCTGACCTATTCAGTAGTAAAATATGCACTCATACATTAATGTGGCTAGATTTATTTAAAGAAGGACAGGTTAGTTTAACCTAAGGAAGTTAAAATTAATAGTTTAGGCTTTGTTGTACAAGGGGGCGGTCTCAACTCTTGTGACTTGATAAAAGCGCAAATAATCATTAAAGGTACCTTGGCACCTTATCTGAAACCTCAGCCGTCGCTTGAAGTAACTGGGCTAATAAATGGCCACAAAACGACCTGTTACTTAAAACAAATCAGCCACGTTGCTTTAGAGTTTGCAAAGTTAGTTGTACGAACAGACTAATCAGATGTTTGCGTGTGCACTCCCTAATCTGGTTGTGCATCAGCGTGTGTGATCTTTTGTCTGTTATTTCCAAAACCAGAGCACGGATTTGAATGAAAGTCTCAGAAAGAAACCATTGGATGTACAACTACAGCCAGTTGACGTTTGGAGTTAAACCAATTCAAAATGGCCACCACAGCTAATTAACTATAGCAAACACAAAAATGGCTATAACTTTGCCAGTTTGACAGATACTGAGTTAAAATTTGGTGTGGTAGTGGCTGAGATTGTACCTCAACTCAGACTTTGAACACTGAATGCACATCTGTTTTAAAATATTTGCCATTACCGATTTTGTCTCTGTCTATCTGTTAGTAAAATATTTCATGAACCACAGGGTGAATTTTAATAAAACCTTTAGGAAATATTCATCGAATGCGCATGTACAACTATTTGACTTTTGGGGCCAACCAGATCTAAGTTTTTCATCTGAGCCCACTAACCTCAGAACTACATAAATGGCTAGAATTCTTTATTTTATTTTATTTTTTACACTAAAATGTAGTGTTGTAGTAGCTGAGAGTCACTCACTATACATACTTCATGTACAGTTCATTGAGCAAGGTATTTGTTCAAAACTGTGGCATTAACTGTTGGGAGTCCACCCTATTTGTCTGTTAGCAAAATTTCTCCTGAGCCACAGGCCAAATTTTATTGAAACTTACAGACAGAATGCGTTGGATGTCCGTCTACAACTCAATAACTTTTCAATTCAATCCAACCAAAGATGGCTACCACATTTAGTGGAGACAAAAAAAACAACACAAAAATGGCTATAACTCATTTTACAAATATTAGGTTTTGTCTTGTTGTAGTAATAGCTGAGAATTATTCATAGCAAACATTGAGCATGACATCCTGTAACATTGCAAAATATTGTAAATACTAATTTGAAGGTTTGAACAAAGCAGTTACAACACCAAGATTTCTACACATATGATTTTGAACATTTGGCATTAAAGGTGGCAAAGGACATGTATTACTTCAAGGAATGCCAAGCCTTTTATTTGCAAGTTAATTTGATGCATATATTAAAAAAAAAAAAACATGGGGCATCCCAGCTTGCTAAATGAGTCATATCAATCAAACAGAGTGCATCAATCAGAACAACTGGTGAATTATGAGGATCAACATGTGTCCTGCACAGCTATCTAAATTTAAAGAGCCCACTTTGACTAAAATTGTATTGCTTTAAATGCTGCTTGTTTTAAATGCTACTTTATCTCCAAACACAGGAACATTTTTATGTGAATTTCATTGCAGCTCATCCAACTTATAGGGGCCATCTTTTCGTCTGGCCATGTTTACTCAGAGTTTCTCTTTGATTGCAGTTTCAGTCTGTGTGCTCAGGCAGGGCACTTCAGAGGACTGAACTGGGGCTTGGGTCAGTTCTTTATAATCGGGTGAACTATGTTACCATGGCTTCATTATAGGCTTACTCAAAAATCCTGTACTGATGCTGTTTGCTTGTGTTTTCTGAGAGTCAAATCTTTGCTTTTAATACATTCCTGTGGATGTTACACATGAACACACTGCTGAAACCATTTTTCACATGAACATATCAGTATTTTCTGATAGTAGTGGCCCTCTTCTATAATACTTTCCAATAAACAGTGAAAACTGGTTCAACAAACGAGACAAAGAGGTCCAGATGTTGACTCCACAGATCTTATAAGATCTGTGAAGGCTATAGCCTGATTAAACATTTCTGTAATGTGCTGAGACAAACAACTTTGTTCTTTGAAGTCCACACCGCACAACTTACAAGAAACTATTGATAATGGCTTGTGCAAACTCAGGATATCTTTAGGAGTCGTGTAAAGTCTATTCCTGCACAAGGATGACCTAAGCAACATCGGACCAGTTTACATTTGTGGATGATGAAATAATCATATATATTTTTTTATATCATTTGAAACTGATACCTTCCCAAAATTAGCATTGCTTGTGTCCATCTATTGTTTGTTGCCTGTAGTTTTCCCCCTCAAAATGTATTTCCAGTGGTGGAATATATTTAAAATGGTTTAACTCTAAGAAATTAGAATATTGCATTTCCAGGCATTTATGGAAATCAGGATCAAAATAATCAAAACTTCACAAGTTTATTCAACATGTAGCTTTTGATTTCCAAATAGTTATTTTTAGGTCAGAGAGGTGATTGCTTTTGATCTTATTCTGTTGTCCTCCAAACCACCTGTTTGTGCTTATCCGGCGGTCCAGACTTTGAAAAAATTAGAAAAAGATCAGCTCTTCAATGTAAAATCTGATTCAAGGTCATAAAGGTAATGTGTACATAGACATGTCGACTTTGCCCAGCCTGATGTAAATTCCTATATTTGACTTGGCAGGAAAGACCAAAGCTGAAGTTCTGTAAGTTCAGTGCACAACACAGTGTGCAAATGTTACCAAGATTGTTCTTATTGTAAAAAAATATATATTACAACATTTTAAATATGTAAGTAAATAGCAACTATAACATTTTCATTCTGGCATATTTTGGCTCTCAAACCTGCAAAAAAGTAAAAATTTGTGTACACGCATGCAATTTATTTAGTCACTTAAACATGTTAAAATTAAAATGAATAAAGTTTTGTTCTGCAACCTGCACCATATAGTTTTGTTAAACTCACCTAGGGTGCAAACTTCTCAGTAAATAGAAGTGCATGGAAATTTTTCTAATTACTCAAGTGATCAATCGGTGATTACATCAACTCTGAGTGGAGACACACAATCTTAAAGCAACGTTTACTTTTACAGCTTGTGTCAGCCTCTGTTGAACTGTGACATATACAGGTCCTTCTAAAAAAATTAGCATATTGTGATAAAGGTCATTATTTTCCATAATGTAATGATAAAAATGAAACTTTCATATATTTCAGATTCATTGCACACCAACTGAAATATTTCAGGTCTTTAATTGTTTTAATACTGATGATTATGGCATACAGCTCATGAAAACCCAAAATGCCTGTCCTAAAAAATTAGCATATTTCATCCCACCAATGAAAGACAAGTGTTTTTAATACAAAACACGCCAACCTTCAAATAATCATGTTCAGTTATGCACTCAATACTTGGTCGGGAATCCTTTTGCATGAATGACTGCTTCAATGCGGCGTGGCATGGAGGTAATCAGCCTGTGGCACTGTCGAATGCCTTCTCCAAGTCCACAAAACACATGTAGACCCCTTGAGGACAATAGTGAGAGTAAAGAACTGGTCCAGCATTCCATGGCCAGGACAGAAAAAAACATTGACTGGATCTGAGGTTTGACCACCGGTTGGATTCGCTTTTCCATTACCCTTGAATAGACCTTACCAGTTAGGCTAAGGACAGTTATGCCCCTGTACTTGGAGCACACCCTCCGGTCCCCCTTTTTGAAGAGGGAACCAGCACCCCAGTCTGCCAATCCAGTGGCACTGCCCCCGATGTCCATGCGATGTTGCAAAGACGTGTCAACCAAGACAGCTCAACAACATCCAGAGCCTTAAGAAAATCAGGGTGAATCTCATCCACCCCAGAGCCCTGCCACTGGACAGCTTTTTAACTACCTCAGCGACCTCAGCTTTGGTTATGGACAGACCAACACCGAAGTCCCCCGACTCAGCTTCATCCATGGAAGATGTCCTAGTAGGATTGAAAAAGTCTGAGAAGTATTCCTTCCACCACTTGACAACATCACTGGTTGAGGTCAACAGCACCCCACCTTCATTGAACACAGTGTTAGTAAAGTGCTGCTTTCCCATACTCAGCCACACGAGGGTTTGCCAGAATCACTTTGGACAAAAATGTACTCTAGTAAAAGTAGAAGTACCATATTAATGTTTTATTTGAGTAAAAGTAAGTACAGTACTTGCTTTTAAAAATACTTAAAGTATTAAAAGTGAAAGTACTTGCTGAATGTATTGCCTAATGCAATGGTCTACCATATCTTTAAGTCTGCCTACCGTATGTATATTTTCTGTAATACATTAATAGTGTTGAGCCATGTTAATGAACAATGCTGCAGATAATCCATGTTTTTATTGTGTTTACACTCTGTGACACAGTTCATTCTTGAACTTGTGATTCTGTGTGTCAAAATATCAGGGATGACATGCAGAGTTAAATGTCATTAATCAAAATAAGAAAAAGGAATGATTATACCTTTGGTTTTGCTTTGCGTTAAATAAAAACTTTCAGTGTGTCATTTTAACTGCAGTAAACACATTTAAGTAAAAGTTGTCTGTCTGAAAAAATGGACATTAGACCTAACAAAGGAACAGGCACTGATCATTTCAACTCCAGTTTGTCATGGTAAATGGTAAATGGAATGTACTTATATAGCACCTTTCTATCTTATTTTAAGATACTCAAAGCGCTTTACACTACAATCTGTGTCCTCATTTACCCATTCACACAGCACTCTACTAGATCGCTACCAAGCTAATTGAACAAATCATTCTAATGAGACTAATCAGAGCTCATTAGACTCATTAGACTCTTTGTGGACGAAGGTTGGACAACAAGTTGGGTATGGCGTCTGGGTTGCGTGTGTGAATATAGTAAACAGCTCCTCCTCCAGTCAGAATAGCCAGGCTCAGCATGATAAGGCGGGCTGTAATGGAAGACTCTTGTTCAGGCAGCTGGAGGACATGGAAGAGAGAAGAAGAACATTAATCTATCATTAGTGATAAACCAAAACTGTCATGAAGTTTAGAAAAGACATTTGAAAAACATTGTTTGTTCAGACCTTTCTGGTTTTTAGGGGCTGGTACATGCGGTCAAACTGGGTGAAGATTGCCCTTCGGGCTCCCTCCCATTTGCCTGGTCCCTTTAAGCGGTACTGGTATGCAGTGACAGGCCCCCATAAAACCCACTTAAACAGAGCGTAGTCCGTGAAGAAGAGCCAGAGAAGACTAGGTCGTACTCCAATCTCTCCAGCTATATTGTCCATATAAGAAACAAAGTCCACCTGCAGGGGGGTCAGCTTAGACACATTATAGCTGTGGAAATGTAAAATAACCAAACATGATTATTCAGTAAAAAGACAGTGAAGTGCAAGTTACTTTAAGGCTTATGGAAACAATATTTACTTTTTCTCAATATCTTTAGTGTCTTTTTCCACAGCCTTGATCATGGACTGGTTTGAGGGCAGCTTCTTGTGTCCTTTGAAGTAAAAATAAAATTATCATGTATTAATATTAATATAATTATCATGCAGAGATAATCTGACCAAATCATGGTTATGAAGTATCTACAAAAGAGAAACCAGCCTCTGAGTCTTACCTTTAAAGACATGTGCCACCCAGCGAGCCTGCATTTCTGCTTGAGTCATGATGGCTCCAAGGGCATGAATGAAACCCACAATTGCCAAAGTTGGATGCTCCAAATGTGGAAGGAAAACATGTTTGTAAAGACCCACACGGTGTCCAGATTTGTACATAACATCATTTGGTAAGTAGGAGAAACCATAGTTGTACCCTGTGGCAAAAACAATCATATCCACCTGTAATAAAAACAGGAAGCCTTGAAGATTGTGGCAAAAATACAAGAAGACTTGTAGATATGTTGGAAGACAATCTTGACCTTTTCCACAGTGGTGCCATCTTCAAACACCACAGTGGAACCACGGATTTCCTTCACATTGGGTTTGATGATGACTGATCCTGACAGGACTCTCAGTGGCAAGTCATCGTTGATCACCGGAATCTGACTGAAGAGTCTGTTGAGAAATTGAACAAAAATTTGAGACAGTAAATAAATATTTTTCTATGTAAAAAACGTCCAATTTATTTATATAGTGCATTTAAAAACAACTATGTTGACCAAAGTGCTTCACAAGGAGGTAAAAAACAAACACGAAGAACCATCAATGAAATAAATAAGAAAAATCACACGTAAAAATTTACAGGTGAAATAAAATAGACTAAATACAAACTAAATCAAGAGAACAATTTTCTTAAGTTACATTAAGTTGTCATGACAACACCCACCTGTGTTTGGGTTTAAGTGCATACATGGTGTGATCATACATGGCATTGAGCTTCTTCTCACCAATCCAGTTGAGGACATTGATGGGCAGCAGCTGGAACAGGATGTGGACAAAGCGTGTGTTGTACTTCATGTCCACAGGCATACCATTATCAGAAACCTGACGGATGACCCACGCACCACGACGAGTGCTCACATACACCTGCGGGGCAACACATACATGAGGCATTCAAACAATTTATTTTTTATTTTTTCCCATTTAGCCTTTATTTATCCAGGTAGTCTCATTGAGCCACGAGAACTCATTTTCAAGAGAGACCTGTTTAGGGAGCAGATGGGGGTTAAGGGCCTTGCCCAGGGGCCCAGAGTGGGGCGAATGAGGGTGGGGGCAGGTGTGAGTGCTTTACCTACCCCACCCACATTTTTGATGTTGTCTGTACCGGGGCTTGAACCGGCGATCTTCCGATCACAGACCCACCTTCTCTAACCTCTGTGCCACCACTCCCCACTTCATTGAGGGATGAAGTGTCTTTAAAGACAACATTAGCAAGAAGAACCTGCTCTGCAACTCTGCTGCCCTCCACAGCGATGTCCCCTCCTGAGTTCCCAATGCCGATGACCACCACTCTCTTCCCGTACATGTCCTCGGGTCCCTTGTAGTCCCAACTGTGCAGGTATTTTCCTTCAAACGTCTCAATTCCTGCAGCACAGAATCATTACACACCATTATCATGTCTCTGTGCGTCATCAATACAATTAATTTGTAAAAACAAAATGCATGTTTAACAAAACATTATGTCCAATTGTTTTGCAAAACACACACATACCTGGGAAATCTTTGAGTGGCAGATTGGGATAGGTGTAGTGACCAGAGCAGCAGATAACTGCATCAAAGACATGCCTCTCTTCTAGTCCATCTTTATCCTCTGTGACCACGTCCCACTGACCGGTGTGAGAAAAGTCTGGTCTCTGTGTGACTCTCTTCACTGAGGTCTAAGATTAAGATGTATTTATGTAAATATTTGTTAAACTGCAGTTTATTAAAAAAAAAAACAATTTTTCTGATCTATGTTTTTTTTTTTTCTTTAATTGTTTTTTACCTGGAAGCGAATGTGTTTGAGTAGTTTAAAGTGATCTGCATACATCCTGAAATATTTTAAGATTTTAGAGTGGCGCATATAGTTGGGGTAATCAGCTGGGATGGGGAAGTCACTGTAGCACATCATTTCTTTGGAGATATTGATAGTAAGGGAGCGATAAATGCTGGCCCTGCTGGGCTCTGACACTTCCTGTAAAAATAAATTATTTCATTAGTCATTCAAGGGTATTTCTGTATTTCAAGATTGATGACATCTCATTTGCTTTCACTTAAATAGCTTGAAAGCATGAAAAAGCATTTTTAAAAATGGCAACTTGCTTTGAACTTCCACAGTCCACCCATGTCATCACTGCTTTCAAAGCAGGTTGGCTCCAAGCCTTCATCCAGACAAGCTTTAATGCTGGTCAGACCTGAGGGACCTGCCCCGATCACTGCTACTCTACGCACCATGATGAAGCTGCAAGAGGGTAGAGGTAAAGTTAAATTCAAATAAGCAGGTTTACCATGTTCAAGACTGGAATTTTAAATGCACTGTTGTTCTAGGTCGTTAAATTAGGCAAGTGGTGTCAGCATGGCACAAAGCCTGAGAACACAGCTAAAAACCTAGTTAGTTCATCTGGTTTCTAGTCCTGTTTGGTATGTTTTAAACAGGCCCTGAAGTGCAGACAAGGATAAGTGACTAAATGTAAACAAAAACTTTAATAAAGTCAAACTTTGACTAGTTTGGAACAAAACTTTAACCCTTCTAAGAAAAATACTACTTACAAGAGTGAATTTGCAGAATGACAGAGAGCATTGAACTGACTTAAATCCAGTGGTGGGATGTAACTAATTACAAATACTTTGTTACTGTACTTAAGTACATTTTTCATGTATCTGTACATTACTTAAGTAGAGTTAAATGTGGGTACTTTCTACTTTTACTCCACTACATTTTACATCAAGTATCTGTACTTTCAACTACACTACATTTCTATAATGCGTTGCATTACAAGTTACATTCATGTTGCGGCTTTTTGATTTGTTTGTTACTTTGAAAGTCAGAGTCAGAGTTTCTTTATTGTCATTAGCACCTCATCTGGTACATGTGGTGGAGCAAAATTATGTACGCAGGGTCCCAGTTACATCCAACAATAAAATGTAAAAGAAAAACAGTAATAACATCTAAGATATGAACTAAGAAAAACATCAACTAAATATACACTGAGCACTCATAACATAAAACCATTACATCGAACATCAGCACAAACATGAACATGAGTCTGTGTGAGCAGATGAGCACGCATGAACACATCAACATTGAAACAAATCAGCAGCTTGAAAGTAACCAATGGTGAGAGGGGAGTAGGTCCAGTGAATCACTGCAAAGTGGGCAGGTAACATTAGGCCCGCCTTCAAGAAGAGCTGGGCCAATGACATATATTCTAGTATATATGTCACTGAGCTGGATGCACCCACAGCATCGCTAACACACCCAAAATGTATTCCACTGCAAGAGAGTCACCCAGAAGATATGCTCCATCCATGGCCTTATTGAAAGACTGTTCAGTACAGCAGGACAGATTCTCTCTCCCAAAAGAGCCAGACTGGACTCAAAAATCTTTGAAAACCAACTTCTTCTGAACTTGAACAATAAATTATTGCTGCAATATTAAAATGTGTCAGTTCATGATGTTAGGAGACAAGAGAGGTCTCCAAATGGCTCAACACTCAGGTCCAAGTTTTAAAAATGGTGACAGGAAGTTAAAATATTGTTCAATATTGACCCATTACAAGGTTGAATAGACAGTATTTTAACTAGAGTTGATGACAAACTGGAGTTGAATTATCAGTGGAAATGATCAGAGTCTGTTCCTTTGTTAGTTGTGTCTAATGCTCCTTTTGTTCAGGCAGACAACTTTTACTTAAATGTGTTTACTGCAGTTAAAATGACACATTGGTTTTGCTTTGTGTTAAATAAAAACTTTCAAACGTATAATCATTCCTCTTTCTTATTTTGATTAATGGCATTTAACTCTGCAGGTCATCCCTGAAATTCTGACGCACAGAATCACAAGTTCAAGAATGAACTGTGTCACAGAGTAAACACAATAAAAACATGTATTATCTGCAGCATTGTTCATTAAAATTGCTCAACACTATTAATGTATTACAGAAAATATACATATGGTACGCAGACTTAAAGATATGTAGACCATTGCATTAGGTAATATATTCAGGAAGTGCTTTTACTTTTAATACTATAAGTATTTTAAAAGCAAGTACTTATTTACTTTTACTTAAGTAAAATTGTTAATGTGGTACTTCTACTTTTACTAGAGTACATTTTTGTCTGTTTATTTGTACTTTTACTTAAGTACAGTGTTTGAGTACTGTCTCCACCACTGCTTAAATCAACCGTGAGCTGGGCCCCAAGCAGACAGAAAACAAAACAGTAAGCTTTGATGACTGGGTAAAGAAAGCAAGAGGTATAAATGTGATCAGAAGGGTGCAGCTGGGCTGATGAGCAAATGAGGAACAAGTGGGCCATGAGTTAAATCCAGGTATCACAAAGGAAAAAAAAGTGTGATAACAAGAAATTTTGTGGACATAGGTACACAGTAAAAACTACAAAATTCACAAAGATCTCACAACCTGACAACCACAGTTATAAAAGTGATTGTGAGAACATTTCAGTCCTTTTGGTCAGGATATGATCAGTGTTTTCTTTTGCAAACTCAGAGAATATAGACTGATTCTTCTATATTCACTGCAAAGAATATGCATCTTAGCCCTCAGGTAGATGGTTAAGAGTCATCCACTGCAAAAAGAACAAAAAGTCTTGTTGTACCTTGCACTTTGAGTCCAAGGTAAATGTCCCCAAGAGGATATGACAGTGAACTGTAGCTCATAGACCTATATCTAAATCTAATCTGATTTAAAAGATTCTTGAGAAAATAGTTGCAAATAAATTGTGTGAACATCTGAACCAAAATAATCTGTTCAAGGAGTTTCAGTCAGGGTTTAGAGCTCATCATTGTCCAGAGTGGGGCCAGAGTTCAGGTGGGTGGCCAGGAGATCGTCCAGCACCTGGAAGCAGTTCAGGTGGCCAGAAAGCCATACATAACCCCTTAGAATCCATGGTGCAAGGGATGTAGAGACCAACAGGAAGACCGTGGTGACAGGCGAACTAGACGGGGAACCTTTCCCCATCTAGATATAAGAAGGTGAGCATCATGACTGACTCCCACAGAAACACAGGAAGGTGAGGTGTCATGGCCGACCCCCATGGAGACAAAGAAAGGCGAGGCATCATGGCCATCCCCCATGGAGACAAAGGAAGGTGAGGCATCATGGCTGACCCCTACTGAGACACAGGAACGCAAGGTGCCATGGTCGAGCACCATGGAGACACGGGACGACGAGTTGGGCTGCTTCTTTGGCTGAGACCAGAGCGACTGTCCCTGCAACAAGGACTCTGGAGAATGGTGTCTCAACAACTCCGGAGAGCAGTAAAGTTGACTCTGGACACTGAGATGACCAACTGGAGATGGCAACTGGAATCAGGCCTGCCATTGATCCCTCCCATGGCAGCATGAATCAGGAACAGGTTCAAATCAGGGCTCATCATTGGGTCCTGGTTCCTCCGCTGATAGCTATTCGGGGAACTCAGGAGGCGAGTGGGATGGAGGAAAGTGAGTTGCTGAAGAACCGTGAGGCATCAGTAGGCGAGTGAGGTGGTGGAGAGAAGGAAATGGACTTAAACATCAAGCAGGATCCCCAGCATTCAGACCTCCTCCTCTCTTCTTCATCCACAAAAAGGGGCAATGGGAGAACCACAACCTCTAGGCCTCCTCATGTTCTGTGGAATTTGAAGCCAATATGCAGACAGGAGTGGGAAACTAAGATAAAATAAAGAATTCTAATATATTAACAAACAAAGGCTGACATGGCATCAGAACTTACATAAATAGTGAGCACAAAGAGGCACGTAGGAACAGAACATGAATGGCTGTGGGAAGCACAATACACAGACAACCATCCATCCATCCATTATCTTTTACCCGCTTCTTCCTTTTTGGGTCACGGGAGTCACTGGTGCCCATGTCCAGCCATCACAATGCGAGAGGCGGGGTACACCCTGGACAGGTCGCAAGTCCATCACAGGTACACATAGAAACAAACAAGACAAACAATCATTCATGCTCTCACTCACACCTAGAAACAATTTAGAGTTACCAGTCAGCCTAATATGCATGTTTTTGGTCTGTGGGAGGAAACCGAAGTACCTGGAGAAAACCCACACATGCACGGAGAGAAAGTGCAAACTCCACCCAGTTGCGCCACCATGCTGCCCATGGACAACCAGGAAATACAAAGACATTGAACTTAAAGAGACACAAACGAGTCACAATGACGAACACCTGAGGTTACTGGGATTGAGAGCAGGTGAAGTAGGAGCTGGCACATGAAGGAAGAAACACTGGGGAACGAAGGAAACAAGTATATAAACACAAGAATCTAAAGACATAACAAAAGACAGAACACAGATTCTCACAATAACAATAATATAAATATTGCTTTACATTTTTGGTTATTTACATTTCCTCATTTTCTAGTATTATTTTTAGATATATAGCTTTAGTTTTATGATGTTGCAAATTTTCACTTTTTCCACACACCTTGGAAGTAGTGAGAGTTTTGCAATAAAGAATTAAACTAAAAAATATAAACCTCACTCTGCTTTTCTGTGTAATTGTACTGTTTAGTTTAATATCTGTTATCTATGTGTTCTTGCTCAGCCACTGTATTTTATCAGCATAATTGTAAATGCTTCAGTGAGGCTTTTAACCTGACATTCACCTTTGCACCATCTAACTCTACAATTTACATTACATGGCTGAATCACTTTGTTGTGCACACTCTGACAGACTGCACACAGAACAAAGCAATTAGTAGATCAGCCATTGTTGAAAGTAGACTCAGACGTAACTGCTTTTAATCCCATGTTCTGTCTTAAAATGATTGCAGTTCTGAGAAGTAAAGGGATGAGCGAAGGCAATCATACAGCACTAAACGTTTTATTAAAGACCTGCTGTATCACAGCAATATTAACATATGAAGATAATTTACACTGTTATACTATGATGTTATCATTATGAGATTACCTTGTGCAAATTAACAAGTTACAAACTTGGTGCCTTTGTAAATAAAATGTTGAAAGTTGTGCAATTCTTGTTAAAAGTCATTTTGTAGTTTGCATATAAAAGTCCAGAACAAAACGTTTGACTGTCCAAAGTTAGTAGCTTCATGACTGCACACAAATTGTGGCACTCTACTACAAAATGTGTAAGTTACGGTATAGTGTAAGTGTGTCTTACCTTCTTACCTGTGCTGATTCTCTGTCAAGATGGATGAGAATCACCTGAACATGGCATTTTATAGAGGATTGTTTTTTTGTTTGTTTTTTC